ACCATTTTTTTTTTTCAAAATTAACGAAAGCTACATTGTAACACTGATATCAGTCAGAAATCCCTGAATAACCCTTTACATGTATATATTTTTTAAAAGAAGACAACCTAAGGTATTAAACTTGGGGTATTTTGACTCTTTTCATGCCACCATTTTACCACCAATCTATGCCAAATTTAAAAACAAAAAATAATTGGTGACTTTTTTGACACATGTAGCAATTTAAGAATACTTGTACTGAGATTTTTAAGGGTTACTGCCAAAGAACACACCAATATGTGTTCAGCAACATCTCTCGAGTACAGTGATACCAGCCATAAATAGGTGTGTCGGGTTCTCTGGGGGCTAAAAGACCTTATTTGGAGGGTGCACATTCCAGTTTTCCAAATTGGAATTTTCACAGCTGGTCATCATGCACCCATGTCGTATTTGGGACATTTTTGAAGCCACCTAATGTAATTTACCTATATCAAACTATATAATTTTTCGAAAGGTAGATACCCTAAGGTATTTCAAATGCTGGTATTTTAACACTTTCCATACACAAATTCTACCACCAGTCTTTGCCAAACCTTTGGGTAGTCATTTGTTTCTGTTATTTTTCTCTCACATTGCATGGATTCTCAGCTCCTGTTATGTGTTACTGACAAAGAACACCCCAATGTGTGTTTAACAACATCTTGTAAGTACAACAGTGCCCCCAATGCACAGGTTTTATAGGTTTTTGCAAACTTACAGGGGTCAAATGTAGGACTTTCCTCTTTTTCATGTTTGCACATTGAAATTTGCCAGATAGGTTTGCTGGGCCTATGATGCCTTTGACACCATATGGCAACCCAGGAATGAAAATTTACCCCATCATGGCATACTATTTGTAAAAGTAGAAAACACACGGTATTCAAAATGGGGTATGTCCAGTCTTTTTAAGTAGCCACTCTGTCACAAACCCTAAAATTAGCGTTTATATTTGTTGTTTTTTTTTTGCATTTTTTACACATGAACTGCAATTTCAATGATGATATTATCGGTATAATACATTTTACTGCTCTAAAACACTCATATTTGTGTAGAGTAAGGTCTCACGAGTACAAGTACAGGTTTTACTGTGATTTGGAAAGTTACAGGGTTAAACATAAGATTTGCCAATTTCTGTTTTTGTAAATTGTTATTTGCCAGATTGGCTATGTTGCCTTTGAGATGGTATGGCATCCCAGAAAGAAAAATGAACCCTACTGTGGCAAAACCAACCTCGCCACTATGCTCTGGAGAAGCCTGGTTGCCCGCCTGCTACCTCTGGACTAGTGCCCCATGTTAAAAACCTTTATTTCTCTCTGCAGAAAGGCTTGTTCGTGACTTTCTGCCTGGGTGTTCGGTAAATTAAATTTACCGAACAAACGCACAAATGACCGGACCACCTGGGTAGGGAGTGTGCAGGCAATTGATCTCCCAGAAGCTGCGGTTAATCGCAGCTTAATTGACGAATGCTGGGTGGCCGTTGTTCGTATAGCTGAAGACGTTGCAGCGGACATCTTAAAATGACGAACAGCCAGCGGTGTTCAGCTACAAAACTGTGGAACTAAAAACGGACACTTATATTCATGAACACCGCTGAGCCGCCGACCTCCCTCCTCCTGCATTTATCCGAATGCCGGTCCATTCGGTACTTTCTCTGTGTGAACAATGCTACCCCAGATAGCTATGCCATGGAGCCCATTCGTATAACGAAAGACTATGTGAAAGACTTTGGCTCCATGGCAATTGAACTGTATGTATGTGATCTGAGCGCCATTCTGTAATAATGTGCACTCAGATCTAAGCTATCTGGGGATATGTTGAATGTATATGTTTTATGCAGTATTTGTAACATTGTGTATTTTTTTTTGCTAACATGTGTGTAATGGAGTTTTGCCTCTATCCTTGGAGATAATTGGATGACTTCCCAATTATCTTCAGGATAGAGAGGAGGGATTATACTGTACTAGTGGGAGTGTTTCACTATGTATGTCTGTGATTGGTCACTGTGCAATTTGTGTCCCAGTCTTCTACCAGGTCCCCTAGGGGAGTGTCCACCTGGTGGAAGACCTGCATAAATACCGGGTAGGTAGCCCCATTAAACCAGATCACTGCTTGACCATCAACATGGAGCCTTGTCTCGTTCTTGGGGGGATTTATTGTATGCTGTTCCAGTTCGACTGCTAGGAGTGTAAACCATTCGTATGGATTTTCCTGTTCAGCTGTTTGAAGCATTCGTATGGTTCCGGCTCGGGAGTTTGGAGAATTTGTATGATTTCCTGTTTGGGAGATTGGTGTATGGAGTAGCTGCCTGTGAATCTGGAAGGGAATATCTCCTAAACGGCTTTTAACCCCTTTTATGCCTGGGGGGTGCCGTTACACCCACCATGACATACCATTTGAAAAAGTAGACAACCCAGGGCATTCAAAATGGGGTATGACCATTCTTTTGTAGTAGCCACTTAGCTACAAATGCTTGCCAGGTTTACCGTTTATATTTGTTTTTTGCATTTTTTTACACAAAAACTACACTTTTACTGGTGATTTCATCGTTGTAATAAGGTTTACTGTTTTAAAAACTCATATTTGTGTTCAGTGAAGTCTCCCGAGTATAACAATACCCCCCATGTAAAGGTTTTATGGTGTTTTGGAAAGTTACAGGGTTAATATAGGGCTTGCCCAATTCAGTTTGCTGGGTCTATGTTGCCTTTTGAGACCATATGGTAGCCAAGGAATGTGAATTAACCCCATCATGGCATACCATTTTCAAATGTAGACAATCCAGGGTATTCAAAATGGGGTATATTCAGTCTTTTGTAGCAGCCACTTGGCAACAAATGCTTGCCAAAGTTAGAGTCAATATTAGTGTTTTGCATTTTTTTTTTACAAAAAAAAAAAAATCACTTTTACTGGTGATTTTATTGTCGTGATAAGATTTAAAGATCCCACGGCGAGGCTGTGTTTATATACCCTGCTGATGACTGATCAGAGTCAGGTGAAGCACAGCAATAGACCAAATCCAGCCCCCAGTACTGCAGACAAGCAAGGATGAACAGAACTAGAATAATTCCAAGGACTAGGAACTGCTGAGGCTCAAAGTTAGATAGCAGACCAAGGACAGCAAAGTACCCAGATTCAAATCCCCTGTGGGGCACTTCTGGGGCGACCACGTCTGGCTGTCTGAATGTCACGGTGAGAACCATGACACGCACACTTTAATTCCTATATATGTATAATATATTATAATTAAAGCATTTTATAATATATTATACATATATAATACATAAATATGAGCTGCTGCAGGGGTATCGCCGGTCCAGGTAAGTACAGAGCTCCTATTTGTCGCGGATGTACTAAGTTGGTACTAACGAGTGGCTCAGCTACTACCCCAGTAGCAAGACATTTCCTGGAGGCAGGTCATACCCTACCAACAGAATGTTTTATGGGCATTGACCATGTCCCCCTTTCTTTACAGGGGGAGGGGGAGGGAGGTAGTCGAGATAACCAGCTTCTGAGTAGAGAAGCATATTGGATATACACACTTGTTTTATACCAAGATGCTAATTTTGTCTATCTAAATTTTGCAACATTATCTTCTTCTATTTTGTCTTTGTTAGATTGTTATTGCCTGACTGTTAGTTTATAACATAGTTTCTTCTTTGCAAACATTTTCAGTTAATTACTAAAATCTTATATGAAGATCGTTTTACTATCCAATTATAATATTATCTTGTTTCGTGCCTATGCACAGGCTTCTTTTATATAGCCTTCATGTTGCTTACTTTGATCAGTATACATTGTATATATATTTTTCATTGATGTATTTCTGTTACGTTGCTTTCACTTTGTTTATGCTCACAACTTTGGTGGAGAGATCTAGTCAGTATTGGAGTGGTAGCATAAGTGACTCGTTATAAAATAGAATATTTAATTTATAATATATATCTGTAGATCATCGGTGCTTGATTTCTTAGCGGGCTCTATGGATTCCCAAGCCTCTGTTTCTTGTCAATAGTTTTTCTATTTCTTTGAGCACTTTTCATTCTATTTCTGCATGTCAGTAATTAGTGCTACCTCAAGGGGTTAACAGTGTCAAATGACATTTTTTTTAATGTACCCATGTCATCAGAGACATCACAGAATCTCGCTTTCGTTTATCTCACTCTCCAATCAGGTTTCTGTAACACGATATTTAAATGCTTTTTTCACTTTTCAAATTTGTCTTGATAAAAGTCCTGGAACGTCAACTTTGCATATTTGTATGCTAAATGCTAAATGCTAAAGCACTATATTGAACTTCATAAAGACCTGTGAGTACACTCTTTTTGGAAACGTATAGAGTGGCTGGAGGTAGCACAGAGGCAATTTAAAGACCGGGAACAGTGAGTGCGGGGTAATATATATATATATATATATTATAAAAATACACTTTTAATAATGGTGTATGTGTGTTTATGTTCATGTAAAAGTACTAGATCATATAAATATATATATATATATTTATATATATATTTGTGTTCGGTGCTATTCTCGTAATGTATGTATAGTATGGTGTAACCATAGGTATGAACAAGTTGATTGAAGTGTGCCGAAACTGACGTATGCGGTAGGCCTGTAATAAAGAGGGCCCACCCTAGATATAAAATAATAAATTAATTGAGTTGAGGGAGTGGTGGGTGGGGCCTGCCGAAGTCAAAACTCCACGGTGATACAGAAAAAGGGGGGTGAGTTTAAATAGGATCACCACGCCCCTCCCACAACTCCAGGCAAGCCTTTACATTTGTGTTCGGTGCTATTCTCGTAACGTATGTATAGTATGGTGTAACCATAGGTATGAACAAGTCGGTTGAAGTGTGCCGAAACCGACGTATGCAGTAGGCCTGTAATAAAGAGGGCAAAAATAAGCAGTGTCTTTGCCAAAGAAAATATTACATAGATAAACATAGTGCAAAGAAAATACCTCAAGATGACAGTTTAACAAAGCCGCCCTAATTTCTAACACAGGTTGAGGCATATACAAAGCAAATGCTGAGGACTTCTAGCGGCCCAAAGACTTGATTACATGTATTGGAATATTTTGGCTGGAGGCTGCCCCTATCCAAAATGAATGGCCAGAAAAAGTTGCCAGCATTCAGACCTACTCTGGTCAGTAACATGCGGACGTATTGCATGAATTTGGCTGTTTGTAAGACCTCTTGTGTAAGACTAGCAGCGGGATGTCAGACTGTGGTGGTAATGATTGGAGGTATGTATCCAATACTTTCACCGGGCACCATTTGTTTGCAGTAGGATAATGTGTGACTGATACTATCCTGCCCAGATGGCTTGTTTTCGTAACTGGTAGTGACAAGATATAGTGATCATGTAGTTTGGTGAGATGGGACCGTTTGAGGCAGTTTTGTACGTATTTGTTTTCGTGTATGGTAAACTCGCCAGGTCTGAGAAAACCATAATATGCCAAGTAGATGGCTGTTTTGATTACCGTGTTTGTATAGTGTTCAAATGGGGCAGTGTCCAACAAGTCGGACATATCCCTAAATATCTGCTTATGTACTGGTAATCTTGTTGATGGAGGAATGGTACTGGATTTCTGTATGCCTTTAAGAATGTTTTTAATGGGCTAAGAAGATAAGAAACTAGAGTTATCTGGGTATAAGGTATACGTGTGGTGTTGTATGCCGGTTAAATGTAATTTGATGGTGTTGTGTGACAGTTTGAGTTTTAGATGACAAAACAAAACAAAAGCTACCTGTGTGGAAATGGCAAAAAACTGCACTAAGTTGTGTTCTATCATAAACCTCTTGTAAAGTTTGGAGGCCCTATCGTAAGACCGTTTAGTATTGTCAGACAGGGCTAGACTTGCCAATTCTTTCAGTCCATCACCAGCTCCTGAAAACATGGTGCTGCAGTGGCTGTAGGGGAGGCCGTGGCTAACGTCTCTCTGAATGCCTGGAATTCAAAGCGTGACAACTTGTCAGTTGCAGTATTAAAGACCCCTGGTACATGAGAACACACCAAATAAAAGTGATTGCAGGTCAGTCTTCTCATGAATCTCATGATCGTTAGAGACTCTGAACGGCCTTTGTTTATGATGTGGCAGGTAGCTTGGTTGTCGGAAAAACAGCGTACCCAGCTACCTACCCAAGACTGACCCCGCACCACAGCTGCTGCAACAATGGGGTATATCTCAAATAAGGCAGAGGTGCGTGAGAAGCCTTCAATGTGCTGGACCTCCTCTGGCCAAGCATGCCAAAGTCACTCATTTCCAAATATGGCAGAAAACCTGTTGATGCTGCCGCATCTGTCCAAATGACCGGAGAGTGAACAGACAATGGAGGCAAGAACATGCTTCTGCCATTCCACTGCAACAAGAATTTGCACCACATTAGCAAATCAGCTGTAGCCTGTGCCTCCGCCTCCAAGCTGATATGAGTAACGTCATTTGGTATGAGAGGGAGGAGGCAAAGGAGACTAGAAATAAAGGCCCTGCCTTGCGGGATGATTCGCATAGCAAAATTCAACGATCCCAACAAAGATTGCAATTCCTTCCTATTGCATGTCCTATTGACCAAAAATTTGTAATGGATTGTAATATGCTGTCAATTAACATGGAGGTAGGCTCGCTTCCATGTTTACTGAATCAAGCAGGATACCTAGGAAATTTACTAAACGTGTCAGGCCTTCTGTTTTCTTGGGGGACACTGGCACCCCCAAAGAATAAAAATATTATATGGCCTTGGTCAGATCACTGGGGGAAGAGGAATTATTCTCCACGAACAGAAAGTCGTCTAGATAATGTATAATGGCCTGGCATCTGCAATTGTCTAACAGCAGCCAACTTAAGGTTTCGGAAAAGATGTAAAATATTTTTGGGCTGCTTTTTGACCCGAACGGGAGTCTTTTGAAAAATTAATAGACACCTTCCATTCTAAACCATGCAGATGCCATAGTGACAGGCGAATGGGTAGTAATTTAAATGCATTGACGATGTCAGTTTTACTGAGCCAAGCCCCTATGCCAGCTGTGATGATGGTGTGTATAGCGTTGTCTATAATGGCATACTGGAGGGAAAATTCCTCGGATGGAATTATGGAATTAAGACTTGGTATGGCCAAGGAGTGAGGTGCTGATAGGTCTAAAATAAGTCTGTGTTTCCCTGAGGATTTCCCAGTGACTAACCCTATGGGGTTGTTTCACCAATTGGAAAATGGGGGCTCGCAAAAAGGTCCCAATAAGAACCCATTCTCCAATTCTTGTGTAATAGAGCATCGATCATTTCCACGTTTGCAAATGCTGACTGTAAATTGTTGCATTCATAAATGCCAGCGGGGGTATGAACCAACCCTGTATGGAATCCCTCCGTGAAACCATCTATCAAAAAGTCCACTAGGTGTTTGGATGGGTGGGAGGCTAATGCGTCAGTTTTGACGTTATACTGAGACAATATTGCAGACGCTCTTGCCGGAAAGGATTGGTGATAGTCATAAAAGGATGACCCACCACCATATTTGCTTCCCTAGTCCACCAGCTTGTGCATGTAGAGGTCGAGTTCCTCTCGTCTATGCAGATAAACAGAACAAATTACACCACGATATATACCAAAAGCCAAGACAAAATCAGTTATGGACAGTTTCTTATTCAATCTAGGGTCCTTGGCTTTCAACACCACCGAAATATCACCATAAGCATAAGTGCGGTTATCAATGACATCATGAGAAGCAATAAGTAACGTTACAAGATTTATATCCTTCCCCTCAAAGATGTCTTTCTTAATCTTACCAGGGACCTTATGCACAGGATTGGTAATGTGCGTTTCGGAACCAGAAGGCACATAGTTACCCGATTGCAAACGTTAGTATGCAGCTCAATTAGTATATGATAAGTATATAGTAGTATGCCGCAAGTAGCATGAAAATAAGTATACATCATTATGCAGCTCAGTTAGTATGTGCTAAGTATACAGTAGTATGCAGTAAGTAGTATGACAAAGTATACATTAGTCTGCTGTTTAGTTAGTATGTGCTAAGTATACAGTAGTATGCCGTAAGTAGTATGACATAAAGTATACAGTAGTATGCAGTAAGTAGTATGACATAAAATATACATTAGTATTCTGTTTAGTTAGTATGTTCTAAATATACAGTAGTATGCAGAAAGTAGTATGACATAGTATACATTGGTATGCAGTTTAGTTAGTATGAGCTAAGTATAAAATAGTATGAAGCAAGTAGTATGTCATAACAGTATACATTATGCAGCCCAGTAGTTGTACTGTGGTATGTGATACAGTATTTACAGTTTAACTTCCCCAGCAGGATGTAAGCTTCGTTTTAGTAGTGTACTAAGTAAGCTGAAATGAAACCTGTCAGCAGTGTGGTCTCTGGCTGCTGTGTCCGTGCGTTTTACTGCCAGCCCCCCCCCACCCCTATGGACCATCCGGCGTGTGGCAGATGGTGAGGGGACCGGAGTATGCAAGACTCACAATTTTAGGGCCCCCGAGGGTGTGGAAAAACCGCAGCTGTTAGCCGAACCGGAAGTGATCGTAACCCGGAAGTCCGAAACCATGCCTGCCGAAGTCAAAACTCCACGGTGAAGGGGGGTGAGTTTAAATAGGATCACCACGCCCCTCCCACAACTCCAGGCAAGCCTTTACATATATGCATGTATATATATAGAAGGTAAATGAGAGGAGCACTCCTAGGAAATTTTCCAATCTGTGTTTATTCAAGAATCAACGTTTCGACCCTCCAGGGTCTTTATCAAGATAAAAAAACACACACACATATATATTATATATATATATATATATATATATATATATATATATATATATATATATATATATATATATATATATATATATATAAATCTGATTTACGTAGTTTTATGTACTCTATAAACTTTTATTTAACTTTTTTTAACTTTAAAAACTTTTTTCAGGCACTAGGGGGACTTACTGAGAGCTCAGACAGGCCCCCTGCAGGCACTGCCCAAGCCGGCTATTCCGGACATGTGATTGCAAGGACCCTGCGATCACATGGCCTGGGAGGACCGGATCAAGCAGAGGGGGTCTGCCTGGTCTCCCAGGGAGACCCCAGGATTGCAATCGCTGGCGGGGGGTCGCCAGCAATCAGATAAGTGCCTAATTACTAAATGACGTACCAGGTATGGGGGTAATTTTAATCAAAAACTTAGTAGAGAAGAAATGAAATGGATTTTTGAATTAAATACTCTCATCCCCCACGGCCTCAATGCAGATTTTGAAATGTGTCATTTCTTAGAATAATTTAATAATTTAGTCATTTTCTGTGTATTTTTTTATTATGTAATTTTTTTATTACATATTTATTTAGATTTTAAATAATTTTTATTGTATATTTTAGCATATTTTAGTAGGTCCTTATCTCTTACAAATCGCTTCATACTTTAATAGTTCTCATTGCGGATTAGTTTAGTCTTATTTTAGACTATAAACATAGGTAGATATAAAGGCATTTATTGAATCAATTTTGATATATAGTGAATTTTGGAAATTTGGAAATATATTTTGATAAAATGAAACAAAGGAAACTCTTAGAGCCATTTAATTGAAAAAGATACATGTAGAATTAGAATAAAGTAACAGTTTATTACTTTTGATACTCTCGATGAGTGGTATCTGTATAAATAGATTATGTATACAGATTTTAAACATGTATCAAATTGATGTTCACATAGGGTGAATGAGGTGTGTATTTGTACTATTATTTATGCAGGAAATTAAAAGTATGTAGGAGACAGATGTGTTACGGAGGGAGAATAGATAGAAATACTCTGTGAAATTGGAATTGTCTCTCTTTAATATAATTATAAAGGGTTAATTTATGTTGACTACAAAGTCATAGTATGTTATTACATTTACGTGGGGGTATCCGAGATGTAATATATATATTGTGATAAAGTGAAGGCAGATAGGCCTTTTAACCCCAGGGGAAGAAAGTGTAGTTTGTGTGTTGCACAACACAAAACACTGTTTAGTTATGGGCCCCTGGGGTGGAGCATTTGGAGAGAAGGGTGGGCCAATGCTCCACTCCACAGTTTAGTGGTTTTCTGGGGAGACATGGATCCAGGCCAGGGTTTTTTGGATCGTCTCCAACCCACTGCTCAGCTGCAGTTAATGAGCTGTTGCAGTGGGAATAAACTCCTCCCTGCTAGACAGGTAAAGGAGAGGGATTGCTGGCTTCCTCCCAGGAAGCAGGTAGGAGAGAGAGGCTGTTCTCTCCAGATAGTCAAGGAGACTAGGCACTTGGAGTGCAGAAAGGAAGCAATCAGGGCAAGGCTGGCTTGGAGCAC